TAGCGTGTTAAAGTAATTTGCTACATTTTTCATAATAATTTTCAGCCTACCTGACAATATTGAAACAAGCATAAACCCTGCACAAAACCTACCAGAGTGAAACCTCAGCCTGGACAACTTCCAGAGTGCTGAAGCCTGATCTACTCAATTTTAGTAGTAATGTGAAAGAATTCCACGTTTAGACCAGCAAAGATGCATTCTGTGGATTCATATTTTTCTTTCAAGTTGTGAAAACTGTATTAGAAAACACATTTGCTTTTTAAAACATCTAGCAAATAAAACAGATCAGTCTACAGTGCTCATTGCAAGCTATTTGAACAGAAGCTAAGTGAAAACAATACAGAACAAAGTGATAACTAAGCCACATGATCTTTTTTTTTCAACTGCAGTCTGCTATATGTCTGTGTATACATGAGGTATACAGTGTTCCACTTCTATTGCATTATGGTATCCCTCTACTTCTACATTCTAGTGATTTCTCCAAGGGTTTTTATAGAAATCTTCTGCTTGTGTCCTGCTAGCAGTGCAAGTGGAACATCATTCAAATGAAAATGCAGAAAGAACATGTGCAATGAAAACTTTTTTTTTGAGAGTCACGCTTTTCTTCTGATGAGTGCACTTGATAAAATACATTCCACCCACCCACAACCCCCTGACTTCTCTGTGTTCCACTGATAACGTGACCCACCACACTGAAACAATATTATTTCCTGAAAGGCTGTAGGCAAGCATGATGATGAGAAGAAAAAAGAGAAATGAGTGTTAAATAAAATGGGAGAGAGAGGAATTGTGCATATGTATGAGAGAATCGGAAGGAAAAAAAATTAAAAAGGTGTGCTGAGAGTTAGATATAATTAGTGGGGAAGTAAGTGCATGTTCCTTTTAAAATGTATGTATCATAGAATACAAAGGAATATAATTCTACCCATGTCATCAGTCAGTTTCTACCAATTCGTAGGGTATGAATGGGGGAAATGACAGTAATCACATTAGCATGAGTTTCATGTTAGTATAGTAGAGTTCATATTTTGGAAAATGTTTAAGAGTAGGCAAAACAATCCTTTTCAAAAATAAATATTTTTGCTTAAGACAGGACAAAGGAAATACACAGAGATAAAAAGCAAGCGTATTTAATTTATGTAGAAGTTAACTAATTTTAACATAATTCCAGGAACTTTTTGACATATGTATATGTAATTACACATGCACTCACTCTTTTCATTCATTTGCCCTTTTCATAAGTATGTAAGAAAATTATATTTAAGAACAAATCCTTGGTGATAACATTTACAACAAATCTAGTTCGATTTGTAATCAAAGGAGGATTGGAGACAAGAAAATTATCCTAGCAGTATTTGTCAGCCGTATGACAGTGCTCTCTAATTGACTTAAGCAGGGGCAGATTTCCTGCTATATGCTTTATTTAATGTAACTTTAAAATGTTCCTCATTGCCAGTCATATCACTTCTTTGAGCAAGCACTTTATTCCAGTTTTAGCTGGAGCTCACCTTGAGAGAGCCATCAGGAAGAAACTTGTGCATCACTTAAGTTCTTGTGCACTGCTAAATTTCACTTTGTAACCTGTCCTAAAGTTTCCCCTTCAAAGTTACTAATGGAAAGAAATACAGCCTATATCATGAGGTTATATTTTATACATTCATGTTTTTACATTTTTAGCCTGCTCGAAGTCATCTGTTTTGTGCAAAGTGTTATATTTTGCTCCTGAAAAAGCATCAGCTGATAACCAACAGTTAGCCAACAGTTAACCAACAGATAACCAACAGATAACCAACAGTTTGGCCCTGAACATACGCCTTGTTTTCTTTCTTTAATTTATATACTGTTCTCTCTTCTGTGAGCAATATCCCACAAGTCATTGCCAAACTGAGTGAGCTATGGGTCTAGAGGTGACAAGAGAATGAAGACTGCTTATTGTTAATGGATAGGATAGGGGAATAATAAAGCAAGAACGTGGGCATTGGCATTCATGTATTCTAGCATGCTGGATGAATTTAGAAGTGTGAAAAATCAGAATGCTTTTGGGATATTCTGCTTTTATTTACCTCCAGTCCCTTCTGAGTCAGAAAGTTAAGTAATCTAGTTCTGGCAAATGCCAGCTTAGTGCCCAGTTTTGCCTATGAGGCTACATGCTAAATACCCATAGTAGACTTTTCAACCAGAATATAAATTTATCATTTGWATTGTAACATTCATCACTTTAGAAGTGATTAATTATCATTTACAGTCTGACCTATGCTCTATAGTAACGTTTAAACCTGTATTTAACTCTTTTAGATTGAATAATGTACCTAAAGCTTTTTATGTTTCCTTTCTATCAGTACAAATTTCTCATTTAATATAGTTTAGTTCAGGACCATAGTAAATATGGGCTGTTTCAAAGAATTTTCGGGTGTTGTCATGAGAAGCAAAGACATTACTTGAACTGGACCATATAAGATCCCAGTCTGATTTAGATTGTCTTAATAGCTGTTGTGTATAACATGAGTTACAGAGACCTCATCCGATCTGTTATGGTAGGCTGTTGAAACTTCTTTAGAATAAATCATACAGTTGCTTTGTGCTGTCTGATGTGCCAGTTTTCACCAACTAGTAATAATAACTGGATAGTGTGAATTTAGTTTTCAGCTAGCTACAAGTCTTGTGTGGCAGATACAGACTTTAAAAGAAAAAAATCCAAAGCAAATTATTCAATAGCTTTGATAAAAAAAATCTTTGTAACATTATTACTACTGAGAACATAAAAAATCATGTTAGGTTTTCATATTAAGTTTCCAACCTAAATGGTTCTTTGATTCTGTGATACTTAATGTTTTGTCATTCTTTTGCACTCTGTTGAAATGGTTCTTGCTGAAAATGTATTTACTGCCACTTAAATATTAAAAACATTTTCTTTGATGTATTAGCTCACATTAGCCATATTCTTCTCTCTAGATTCTAATTTTTTCTTGATTTTCATGGCCTTAGTATCCCATATCTCCTTTTAGATTTCCGATCATCACTTCAGTAAGTGTTTTAGAGGGACCTTTCTTGATACAACTGTGATCTGCTAGTATGGACTGGGTAGCTGAAGTATTGCTTGGAGCAAAAGCTCAGGTACCATTGTTGAATGCAGAGTCAGCTTAGTTTCATCTGAAAGTTTATGAGTTCCAAGATTGCTCTGCCATGTAAACTACAGCCCTATAAGTGGAACCACGCTCCTGAAAGGAACATTGTGTGCTTTCTGCCGTGCTTCCTCTCATGCTTTGAACTGTCTTTTGGCAGATGCCTCTAAAAAAGCTTGGATTTGTTTGGATGTTAATCTATTAAGGCACAACCTACCATGCTGACTAGTTGCCTGCCTCTTTAAATTAAATTGTAAATTTTTTGAGATGTCATCTTCTCTTTTCTAGCACTAATGCAGTGGATAATAATTTTTCTCTTGTAAATGCAAATATATTATTATGATTTTTTTTCCTATTGCAGCTCATTCAGTGTCATGTATTTTCTATTTCCAGAAGATTTCTCAAGTCTTTGTTGTATCAGACATCTGGTCAGTATAGCTTAGTTACAAGCCAAGGATTGTAAGAACTGTTTCAATTAGCATAATATCCCTGTCACAAACAGTACAATCTTCATCATGGAAAGGAGAATTATATAGGGTTGCTTCTAGACATTGTAGTAATTCTGGAGTTGTGTGGTTCAAGGAAGARTTTTGGGGGTTTTTTTCTGCACTTAAAACCCAGAATTAAAATGCCTGAGATACTGTTTTATCATTTAATACTATGCATTCGTTTCTTCACCGGGATACAGCCCTATGTTTAGCAGAGTGGTGTAACTGGCCAATAGTGGCTTTGGTGCAAAAGGAAGGTGTGAGAATGACCACAAAGTCAAGGTGGCAGCATTATCAGGTTCAACTATACCAGCAAACTGAAAGGAAAAGCTGCAATGCAGCATTAAGTGACAGAGGAGAAAAAAATCCCTCCATTTAAGCTCTGTCATCCTGAAGACTGACCGGGATATTTTTTGCTCAGTTCACTCCTAAAGTAAGTCAGTGTGTCCCTTGCTTGACTAGGCTAGCCTCCATAAGACCAGCCCCTATTTCTTGTGCCTCTGTGTCCCCAGCCATAAAGAATTGTTGGGCATCGCCTGGGTTGGGTAGGGCTTTTYTGATGTATTTTAATTATAACTGTGTAAATTAGGAACTAGTGCTAAAGAGAAAAAAATGTCAATGAAGGTACTGTTCAGCTGGACCAGAATCCAGTCAATATAGTTCAAGCCCTCTGGACTGCTCGTTGGAGACACTTTGATCTTTCCCTTGACTTTACACAGGTGCTTAAGGAGAACTCAGGCCACCAAAAATACTATTTCATGTATTTCTATGGGTCATAGAGGTTTTGTGTAGTAGATCAGGTCTTTGGAGACCTAGACAAGAACCTTACATTTACTCTTCTTTAGTAGACTTCTCATTCTTCCAGAGCAGATTTTATCTGCCCCTAGAAAAATTTATTAGTTGATACTTATATTTATAAGAAGAGAAGATAAAATATTTTTCTTGGGCATTGTCATCCTCAGGGTGCTTACATAAAGACACAGATTAATTTTTTCAGGTTTTCTGCAAGAAAACCCTGTGGTTTTCCTGTGCTATTTTCTCTTATGCAGAAAATAAGAAATATTTTAGTTCTAATGCGGATTAGCCACTTTGAACTTGTACCTTTGTTCCAAAGAATATTTCCTACTAAGACTGAACCTCTCTGTGTCTGTTGAACATGTATGTGCATGGTTTGTSCGTACTTTGGGATTTGGATCTCTCAGTAGCAGTGTCATTGCCTAGCAAAGTCTGGTATAACACAATAAGTCTGGTATAACGCAAAGTCTGGTATAATACAATATGTGTTGGTAAAGCTGATTTTAAATTTAAAATGACAATCAGTGTGCCCTTTTTAGTAATCTATTAGTCACTGTCTATGCTGATCTGTATACCTTTTGTTTTCCCCACTCAGATGTTGCAAGAGCAATTGAGTTACTGGAGAAACTGCAGGAATCTGGAGAAGTACCAGTACACAAGCTACAGTCTCTAAAGAAGGTGCTGCAGAGTGAGTTTTGTACAGCTATCAGAGAGGTATGAATTTGAGATTTTTAGTTATTTTTCACACTAACATCCCTCAGCTTTAAAAAATGTATTTGCCTTTCAGTGCTGGAGAATTAGGAGTACCTTTTCTAAAGGGGGATGATGGATGTGAGATGTGTCAGTAGCTCCCTGCTAACTGTGCAGAATGTTGAAGTTACTGAAAAGCAGACACAGTTACATCAGCCTGAGGCAATTAGCCTTGCTAATGAGAAAGGGTGATTAATTAGTACTTGAGTATTCTGCTCCTGCTGTTTGAGGGTCTGTGATAACCTGTACAACACAGTGCTGGGAGCATGGGGACATGACAGGTTAGGTCAGTGCAAGCTTGAATGCCTCTCATTTGAGCTCAGTTGTGTCAGGGAGCTGCTAATAGAATCAGAACGCAGTGACAGCCAGAAGGGGCAAGGCTAAAGTTAACTGAAGCTGACAGGAGTCTTACCTTTGAAGTCAGTGGTCGTGTCCYAGTGAGCTTTGTTCTTCATGTCAGAAATCTTCGTCATCCTGCTGAGGACTGTGATAATGCCCCTACCAGCTGTGGTTAGGGCCTTCTTAAGCTCTGCCCAACAGTAGATAAATGATACAGTTTTCTTCTAGTCAAGTTAGAGAAGATGCAACACACTTCTACATGTGTACTAGTAGTATCTTTAAAGCAATCACATGAGAAGCACTTCTGTTACAAGTTTCTTAGACAAGAAAACATGATTTAATACATCATATCAGATATTTTACCTACTAAACCAACGGCTCTTAGCCTGCCAAATAGAAGCAGCTGCAAATGCTGTACTGGAGGCAACTTCTTTTTAGTAGCAAATCTGTAAGAACTTCTGTTTCAGTTTCTCTTGTCTGCTGCCTGGAATTAATCCTCCAGTGCTGAAATCAATGGGGAATCTAATGTTCCCTCAATGGTAGCAAAATTGAGCTCCTGTTAACTAGGTAATAGCTGCAGATTGATTGAGTGGACTACTGAGTGGTTGGAAAAAATAAAGAAATGGACAGATATTAGTTTAATAAACAAAATGGAACACACTCTTTGTTTTATGGAATATATTCTTCAATGTAAGAATCAGAGAGGCTTCCACCCAATTAAATTGCAGTTTTCAAGGCTTTTTAAAGGGAGTAGTGTTCCTTAGCGATAAATAACGGCACTCTACCCTCAAAAGCTGATATTCTGACTAGTCCATTCATTTAACCAAACTAAAAGCTTCTTTAAGCAACCACAGAGCATAGAAAAGTTGTGGGATTGTTTGCGGGTTTTTTTCAGATAGCAGAGCCTGGTACTCCAATTGTTAAAGGCAGCTTTGAGTCTTTGTAGCCATGTCAAAATCATCAGTGAAATMTTAGTCTTTGGAAAACAGTTTTAGCAGAAGCAAACAGAAAATTTAAGAACTAGGAAACTGGCATAGAAAAATGCGCTCTCAGTTCAGAGAACTGAAAGTAGATTTTGAAAAAGTCGTCTCAGTAGCACAAAAAGCACTTTATTATGTATAGAGTGTTGTGTAAAGACAGCCTGTACATGACAGACTATCTAATTAGTGTTAGATTCTTACAGCCAAATAATAGGCAATTTAAGAAACCTGGAGCTAGTTGTTACACATGAATGGAGCAGTGATGAATAAACAGTTCTACTAACTTCATAAACAAAAAAATGTGTTTCTTACTAAATATATATATAATGAATCTTCCTAGTATATCTGTAGCAGAGAACAAAATTTCTACACCCAAAAAAATTTTTACCATTCACCAGGTAAATCTTTCTTTAGGAAAAAACCTTTCAAGTATAAAAGGCCCAATAATAAATCATTTAGGGAGAGTGGGAAGACTGACATATGTACATTGCAAGTACTTAAGGCTGTTCAACATGTGGCTTCTCTTTTCAGATACATTAAAACTCCTTGGCAAATATTTAGACTAGCTCTCTTTTTTTTCCCCACCAGTTGAAGAGCTGTTGGAAAATTCACAAAATTATTGCTTCTATATTAAAAAAAAAACATTATAAAAGCATGGAATATTTTGGTCACACCACAACAAGGGCTGGGAGGATATCTGAGCTGTGTCATGTCATTTTGTCATTTATGAGGGATGCCCTTCTTGATGTCCTTCGTGCGCACTGGAGTTTACTGGATGGCAAAGATTTTTCTGAATGTGTTTAAGTTTGAGATAGCTAAGGCTAGACAGAAATTTCTCTACAAATGTTCTCTCCCACTGTTTATCTTTTCTTATCCTAGTGCAAGATGTGAGAGTGTGATGACTAGATTTAATTTTCTTTATTAGTACCTGCATAGACCAGAGGAGAAAAGTTGTTGACATTACAAGAGAATGCACAGCAGTGAGCTGGAAATAATGAGAAAAGTGGGAGTGAAGCAGACTGAGTTTGGGCTGTAGGTAGGAGTAATGAAAATGGGATGAGGAGACAGGCTTTGTGTCAGTATGCAAATTCTGAAAGAGGCTGCTTATTATATATGTGCAGATATTCAGATCTGCAGTATGGTGTGTTCATTCTGTAATGCAAGATCTGAGCCTAATTTTCTTTCATCAGAAATTCTAGTAAAAGAGATTAAGGCTGACTTTTGAAGTCCTGTAAACACCATAATGGAGTAACATCAGAAAATAAAAATTCTCCAGTCTAAGAAATTATGGAAGCTTAACTGTCAGTAAGTTTGGTTGTTGAAATGTCGTAGAGAAACTCAGCAATGGCCTGAGTGTAGGTGAAAGGATCGAAGGTGAAACATAATCTGCACTGTACTGAATGTGACTTGTCCCTTATACAAGTAGGAATAGAGAAGCAGGAGGTTACTTTTATGACCCATTAGCCTTTAAAAGTATGAGATTCGTTATTAGATGACATACATTCCAATCTAATGTGTAGGAATCTATCTAATGGTAATTAATTGTATTTGTGGAAATCTATTTAGTAAATCAAATTTCAATTCCCTATACTTATATTCCATAGAAATAATTTATTTTAAAGTGACTGAGTGAATGGAATTTAAATAGAAGTAATTTAGCATTTTTCAAGGATGCTATGTTAGGGCATGTCGTTCTCACTTAGCTAACTATAAGTACCACCAACTGAAATATTCTGTCTGGCACTAGGCAGGAATATGTATTAGTTCTGAAAATAATGGAAATAATTGAAGTATATCATGGCCTCATTATATACTCCAATTCTTCCTTTTCAACTGAAGACCCTGTCCTAGGGGTCACCTGGACCTTGTCCTAGACCAGAAAACAAGATAACAAAGTCTGATCACACTAGAAGTCAGTCTGGAAAAAAAATTTACTTCTATTTTAAAATTACTTATTTTGAAAGCTCCCTAGCTACATGAAGATTAATTAGCTTTCTATAGCTTTGCCATCTGATAAAACTTGCACAAATCTTGTCCATTATACCATTAAATCCTTTGCCCTTTTAAATGTTTTTGCTGTTTATTCAAACTGTCGCTGTGTTATAGTTATCTGATTTCCAGGGGATTAATGGAATAAATGAAGAGCTGTGAAAGTGAATGCATAATTGAGCTACTGAGAAGTTATATTCACATGCAACATAAAATTAGACAACCTAATTGATAAAGTTACTTTAATTCTTAGAAGTCAGTGAAAAAAAGTTATAAGAACTGTAAAGTGAGGTGAATTTCTGGTCTGGCAAGAAACCCTAAAGACTTGTGGACACAGATGATAAACAACTGAGTAAAACAGTGGATCATCAACAAGAAAATGTGACTTGCCTTAGCAGCTTATGTGAATTTCATTTACTGTTAACATCTGATAATTGGTGGTCAGGCACCAGGAGAATAACAATACAGCTTGATAAACACTTTCATCTCCTGGAGAGCAAAATTTTATTTCAGGTTGATTCCCTGATTTCTATTTCTGTGTGTTAAATATGTAAGATTCAGGTGTATGTGGCTTTTCTCCCACCTCTGCTACTCAGTTTGCCATTTCAAGGTTAAATCTAAAGTTTTGATGTGTGGATATTATTTGAAAGAAGATATTAATCAGATAAAAATGTGGTATGGCAACCAGACACACAAAAGTAACCATTATTTTATATTATTATGACTCCCACCAAAATGTCATGTCATCACAGAAAAGCAATTCTGTGGGACTCCATTACTGACAAAGGAGGAGCTGTCAACACAAAATACTCTCCCCTTGTGTGTTCTCTATGAAATTAGTCAGTGGGAAAGTATGTTGTCTTTGAAAATAGTTCAGTCCCTACCTCAGTAGTTTAAAACTTTTTTAAGCTTGCTATAAAATTATCTTATAGACAGAGCATGCTTGATATTTAAAGACCCCAGTTGACAAAGGCACAAGAATGGCAGTGGCAAAACACTGACCCATTTTTTATGAGGTCCTGATGCTCCCTAGTTACTTTAATTGTTTGTGTTGTATACTATTAAAAACATAGTTTCATTATATATTAGGTAGGATAGTTGAAGAAGCCTAGTCAATATATTAGAATTATTTTCTTTAAGTAATAATTTTCTATTTCCATGCCTTAGCAGTCTGAATGTTCAGAATGCCAGTGCTGCTGATGTGCAGTGTGTTTTTGCTTGGTCATTTCCTCAAGCCACCCACCTGTACTTTTCATTATGAACTCTGATACGTCTTTGCAAATATTTAGGTTGAACCAGAAGAAGGTTCTGGGCAGTGAAAACTGAATCTGGTGATAATTGTGCTTATAAATATAATGGGATGCCATGTGTGACAGCAGAAGGCTGTCTGAAACCCTTAGATGTTCATTCACTTCAGATGTCCCAGTGTGGTGGTGTACTCCATTTTTACATGGCTGTGCTGAATGTAGCAATCTGGGTATTAGCTGGACTCAGGCAAAAATTCTCATTAATTCTTCATTAAAGAATGTAGGAGTCATTTAAAGACCTGTTTTCTTTGTGTTTCAAGAATCTCAAAATTTATTTGTTCAGTTTGCATTAAAATGCTGTTCTTTCACATCCCAGACCTAGCCTTTGAAAGCAGAATATCAGTGTTTT